ATGTCATCATTCATTGTGATAGCTATACAATCAAAAATAATATATGTTGCTGCTAGATACACATATCTAGGGTTGATCATATATCTTGATCAAACACTCTTTCCATACTCAAGAGGAGTGTAGCACATACAATTATCCATTTAACTTGTGCAATGACATAAGCATTACTGCCACACTAGAGTTTTTTTTATGAGTGAGCTTGATGTTTTAACAGGTATAATTTCTTCTCTAATCAGCAAAGAAGATGTTGTATACAAATTCATAACTCATAATTTCTTGATTTTTTTTAAAATTTTCAACTAAAACTCTGTAAATTCGATTATAAAATTTTAAAATTTTCTTCCAATTTTTTTATAAAATATTATTAAGCAAAAATGAATCCAATCTTAACTTAGAGTAAAAAATCAAAAACATTATTATTCATTTAGCAAAGCTTGAATTGATTTTACATAATGATGGATGCATCCATCATTAGGTAATCAAAACAAAAACCTGATGATTTTTTTCATGATAATTGTCAAGATAATCATCATGAAGAAAGTTTCTGTAAAACAATTTATCTAAGACAGGCAAAAATAACAACGTAGACGGAATAATTCAGCATAAAGGTTGAAAAAAAACTTAGTAAAGAATATTTTTTTTTACAAGTTATCATCAATTTAATTCATGATAAATATTAAGATAATATTGATTTAAAACATATTTTTTCTAATGTAAATTTCCTCCACATTTTAAGATGATCGATTGACTTAAAGAAAATTCATTTGGTATGAAGAAAAAATATAATTTTTTAAAAATATTTTCATTTATTAAATTGTAATGTTAAGCTAGCAAAAGAAAAATTACGATAAAGATAAAGAATATGAGATTTTAGTAAAATCAATCTAATCATCACTTTGATCTAAACCAAAAACAACATTATTAGAATTAATGACTGACTAAACATAAATTAGAATGATGTATTTCACAAGAATACACAAGAATTTAAGAATTTGTGAGAATACACAAGAAAAAAACTCACTCAGTTTTTCTTACAAGAACAATCTTCAGAGTAATCCAGACGGAAAAAATTAGCTTTTCGCCTTGTTCGACGTTAGTGTTAACTTATTGTCGACTGATTTTTTTCTCGAGTTAGGATATGCAAGTCTGCTGGCTGTCGGCCCGCGGTAGTGTATTTAACATTGGACATCTTGATGTATATCGATCATTTTTTTGAATAAATGTTTTGATTTTTCACCTGGATTCATTGCTTGCATTTGTCTAGTTTCATTGGTCACAAGCAATGTATTTACCAATGGACACTTTTATGTATATCGGTTGATTTTTACCAGGTTACGATCCGATTTCTCATTAGAATTTCAATGTGTACATCTATCTAGTTCAAACAAACAATATCAGCGCTTAGATTTTGATAATTCTTGCAATTAACTGTAAGTGTTCTCGCACCTTGTACCTTGCATCCACACAAATCGATGCGCTTTACTTCCAAAGAGACTAAGTCGGATCTTTGATGATGTCTAATTTAGTCTGGCACATGAGGAAGTCGATTTGCATTTATGTGAGTTTTGCGACTTTGTGGAAAAATATCTTGATTCAAATATACATTTGTGGCATTTATTCACTAATCGAGTTTGCACAACTCGATGTCAACGATTTTGTTCTGAACGTGATCAAAACCTCTGCAAGAGAAAAATAGTAATAACTTGATATTACCATTACCATATCTGCAATATATTCGCAGCGGAGCGGCCGATTAGAGCACATTCGTGGTGAATAGTTTTTATGACACAAGCAAGCTTCAATTGCTCCACAAAATCGAAAACCTTTGCAAGAGAAATAATAATAATATTTTGATATCCAGAATGTACTCACAACGGAACGACTAATCAGAGAACATCTATGGAAAATAATTTTTTTGACAGACAAGCTTCAAATGGACAAAACCTATGAGACATTTTTTGACTCTAATATAAAAAAAGGACGTTTTATGACTTTAATATGTTTTATCCTTTTGCAAAAACAAGAGGTGAGCAAATGAGTGAAAGAAAAAAAATTCTTTCATTCAAAGGGTAGAATCCAAAACTTAAAATGCTCGTAGAATGAGATGGTGACCACTAAGTCAAGGAAGCAAAATATAATATGATCGAATATGACGGGCGCCTAGATCATGGATCTAGGCAAGATGCGGACTAAAACCATCCACATATAAGGACGACAATTGGACAGATATCCAGGAGCAGTGAAGGTGTATATTTATACTTCATTTGTAACCTTCCAAATAAAGCATCCAATGATGATGCTGACGACGAAGAAGCAGCCAGTACATCTGCAACCTTCCAAATAAAACATCTACTGATGACGTTGATGATGAAGAAGCAGCCAATACATCCATCTCTACCTCGGCCCGAGCGATACAAGAAGATGAAGAGATACCTCTGATTCAAATACGAACTTACTGAAATTAAAAAAAACTGGCGACAGTGAACATTTTTGAACTATGAACAAGATAAAAAATTACATGTCAGATTCAAAAAAAATTTAAGCTAAGTGAATTTTTAAATATCTCAAAAATATCAAAAATTATGATATTTTGTTTGATATCGTATCATACAATGTCAAATTCTTTTAAAGTTATTTTAATGCTGACAATGTACAAGATTTGGAAAAAATAATTCTACAATTCGATGTGGTTACACTCGGATAATGATTGCATTGTGTAGAAATTCACTTTGAAAAATTATGTAATCTAATAAAAATCAAAGATGAATATGTAAAATCAGCTGAAGCAGCAAAGAAAATTATTTCACTGTATAGATTTATTATTAAAACAAAAAATAAAGAAGAAATTATCAATCTTTATTGTGATGATCAGAGTGTGATACATCTCGATACAATTTAGTTGATTCATCAATTAAATTTTTTTTTGAAAATTTAGTTAACACTATGCTATTTTGCACGAACAAGTTTTAAATCTATTCAATTTATTCTTACTCTTATATATATATATAGTCTGTGGTTTACTTCTAATTAGATTCTATGTTACTTTTACTTTTTAATTTTTTTTGTTAAGTAGCTATTTAAGTTATGGAGTTACAATCTCCCAAGAATAATTCGAGGAAAAGGATTGCTAGGAGTAAATTTTGACATCTCATGTTAATTTAATCTTAGTTAGTGAAGCTAATTAGAGTATCACGATATAAAGAAATTCGCAAAATCTGAGTGACATTTTTAGAGTTGGCAGTAAAGCTTGAGGTGTTCTTGGATACATAGACCACAATGATGAATCAAATATGTTCAATGTTGGTTGTGCTTTCGCATTTTTGTAATATATGTGAGTGTGAATGTGTTTTGACTTTACTCTTGACACAATTTAATGAATGCAAAATCTTAAGAATAAATTGTTTATAGAATCATTAAAAAAATACAACTCCACTTTTTCTAGATATTGAAAATAAAATGGATTGAGTAAAAAATATAAAGATATAAAATTTAACGTTTTAATTAAAATTAATATAATCCTATATTCCATTTGTAGCCTATTGCCAAAATTTTGAATTCAACTACACACAAGTTGAATTCCATGGCTTCTAATCAACATGGCTTGGTGTGCATTACTTTCCACCTTTATCACAAGGATTCAACACAAAAACTTACAACGACAAACATTGAATGCATATGTGAAGTGAAGAATATTTAAAGTTCTAGCTTATATATCCAAACATTGAAAGTCAAAATAAATGTTAATATCGTAATATCGTGATGTTCATATCGTTCCTACTGTAATGTGATGCAATGTTTATCATGTTGGAATTTTAAGAATAAAATAAGGATAATTAAGTTTAATCATTGCGAAAACTGTTTCACATCTGAAATACAGAACATCTATAATCAGAACTTAATAATATTATTTTCACAAACTTGACTTATTAATACTAAGATTTTACCCAAATCATCAAACATTATGAAATGATGACTCTATACGTGAAATTTTACCTTAGCATTATATAATTCAACTCAAATGATTGGCATAAAATTTGTCAGAGATACAAATAATTGAGCAATATTACTAACTAACCAGATGCGTCGTTAGTTCCGTGTTTTCCGATCTGTCGGGCCATCCACTTGGCCCCTTCCACTAGCAGGAGAAGGATGCGAAGCCGAGAATCTACATCCATTATAATTGCTGGCGTTGTCGGAGAACAGCGCGACAGCGATAGTCGTCCCGTGCATCAGTTGTGTGGATGTGTGTTCGCGGGAGCCTCTGGGGCATGCATGCACGCTTTGCAAAGGAGGAAGTTCGCACGTTGTGGCCTCCACGCGCCTGCATGCGTTATATCGTCGTCGTCTCGTGGCTGGCACACTCAGCCAGTTTGGTCGAGGCGTCGTTCGTACCGAACTGCTGAACGGAGTTCAGCTGGGCTCCGAGACTAGCAACTCGCCAGATCCATGGAGCTAGTCTCTACCGGACATGGCTTGTGGCGCAGCCGTGACGGTTGCTCATCGTGGGGAGCGGCGCGCGCTCTTTCAAGAAAGCGAGACTTCGAGAGGGGACGCGCCACCGTCCGGCTGGACAAGAGCAAGAGAAAAAGATCGAGAGCCGAGAGCAAGCGTGGGAAGGAGGGAAGGAGGGAGGGAGGGAGGGCCAAAGGCAAGAGACGGAATCGATGTACTGCGTTGCGGTGTGAAAAGGGAGTTGGTCTGAAAAGCTTGAAGATTCGCTCGGCAAGTGTGTCCGGCTCCGGTGCACTGAATGATGATGTGATGGAAGGCTGCGGATGCCCGAGGAGGTTTGACGATAAATATGCGACGAGCTTTTGGACCGGATTTTTTCTCCGTGCGATGATTGCGTGATTCCTGAGAGGAGAATTATGGTGTTTCTGGTCCCACGTGGAACTGATCATAATTACAAAGTCACATTTGATTCTCATACCTGCCCGACTCCTCTGTAGCCTTGCCCCAAATGACTCCATCCGCTCTCTTCCATCGCCTCTCTCCGCTCAAGAGCCCCGTCTGAATTCTGGCGACTCTGCTGCAGCAACTCCCGAGAGGGCTGGATAACACATTCAAAAGGAGGCAAAAGGAGAAAGGAGTTCAGTGTGACTTACTGACGGCGAAACTCCTGGGAAGGACGGGAGAGAAGCATTCTCCGATGGGGAATACGAATGGAAATGAACCAGAGTCGAAGATGAAACGAGTTTCGCTTAAGGAGCTTGCCAATTCGGCATTGCAATGGACTCTTTGGATCCTTCTGTGTTTGATAACCTTGGTGTTTTTTGGAACTCTGATGATCATGGATACTGGGTTGGGCCAGAAATTGGTGCTGGATTGGTTGGCTTTAACTCAAACAGAGGCGTGGGGTGATTCTGGTAAGATTTCCGACATTGCCAACTCGAAAAAAGTTTCAACAGATTGCCTCTTACTCAAGGCTATGCGGGTCAATAGTCTTCGATGGGCATAAAATGTCTTTTGTTATACTATGGTGCAATATATGTCATTATTGAAAGCAAGATTCTGCGAGAGTGGTTTCGACATTCGAGTGTTGGTAGACAGAATTTGTGGGAGTAGCTTGATGAATCCGGATGGAAGAGCGACGTTTCCTGCAGTACCTATGCAGTTTCATTCTTCTTTTCTACGACGACTTCGTTTAGCCCACACTGCAATAGACAATCTCATCTATGATAAGCATTGTTTGTGGGCCACGATCATTTAAAACTAGTCCGCGGCTTTCGGCTCACCAGTTGTCAGCAAGGATCGCTGACACGCAGGAAAGTTCTTCAAGCAGATATGTGATAGGAAACTCATCCTCCCACCTTTCTCATGGAGAGATTCCATTGTTGGACGAACCCAGTTACAGTATGGCCTTTTGCATAACAGTTGAAATATGCCAATCTCTTTCGTTCAGACATACGAGCTTCACGTAATTTAGCAGTTTCTAGTTGTAACTCTGAGAGGAAGATCAATAGAAGTCATATCTGGAATGGTGTCCCATCTTATCGTTCTTTCGGATTTGTCACTCTCTCCCTTAAAGGATTCATAAATGTTACAACAAGATTCCATTTTCCAGTTGAAGGTGATCTCCAGATGATTCAGGAACCAGGCATGTGTCATGTAGCTAACTTTTGTTATTGGCTATCGCAGGAGTATTCATCTTGTTATTTTCCGGCCCCATTTTCGCTCTCGTCTTTGTTGGTTCGGTCTATTTGTATCTCTACCCGAGATCAAGTGGAAGGTACTGCTCATATGCTATCACAGTTTGGTACCAAGTCATGCGATCGCCGCAAGAAAGAATTTGCACGTAGACGGAGAATGTATTTTTGGTGCATAATTGTTCCTGAAAGTATGACTTCGAGCTTAAAACGGCCGATTTGACTTTCTGTCTAAAAGCATTGGATGAATTTGTCGTGAAAGGACCGTTCGGACTGCATAGTCTTGGAATTAAGCAAAACTTCTATTTTCTTCACAGAGTGCGCAAAAGGAAGGAAGCAAGACCCAGCTTAGGAGCTCACCCAGTGATAGTGAGTGGCCCTCTTGGGGTAGTAACATCAGCAGAACTTTTCTGGATAATTGGCATGTTGTTATTCGCGGCTTGGATGCTGATCATCTACCTCGTGAAAACCTTTCCATCTTTGGCCGAGCAGTATCCGGAGGCTTCGACAGCTGAATTGTAAGTCTTATCTTCGATGGGTTATCATTCTAGAGAGTTTCAGAAAAGTTACAGATGCACTGAAGACGTGTCCAGAATGAAAAGCAAGTCCCTTCCAGTACCAGAGAATTAACTCGCCTGTACTTGCAGATGGCAAAAGAGAGTAAAAAAGATTGGCCTTCGTCTCGGATGGATTGGGGAAATTTGTCTCGGGTTGCTCTTCTTACCTGTTTCCAGAGGGTCCATCTTGCTTCGACTGATAGACATCCCGTTCGAGCATGCAGCAAAATACCATGTGTGGCTGGGTCACTTTACTATGACTCTCTTTACGCTGCATGGTATTTGTTTCATCGGTCCTTGGTATTTTGAAGGCCGCCTTGACAAAGTGAGTAATACATACGCCCAATCCATACTCTCTCGACATCTGTGGAATCCAGGTTTGAGATCTTTGAGCGCGTATGAAGTTGAATACCTGACAAAGAATTGATCTTGCAGATATTCCATTGGGACCCTCATCGGATTGCCATCTTACCTGGAGTAATTGCTTTGGCCGGCGGGTTGCTCATGTGGAGTACTTCCTTTCAGTACACGAGGACACGAGCATTTGAGCTCTTCTATTACACACATCACCTCTATATTGTCTTTGTGGTGGGCATGGTCCTTCATGTGGGTGACTTTGTTGTCGGTGTAGCCTTCGCGGGAATTTTCCTTTTTGCCTTCGACAGATTTCTGAGGTTTTGTCAGTCTCGGAAAGAAGTAGGTGTGCTCTCAGCCACACTTCTACCATGTGGAACATACGAGGTTGTACTTCCAAAGACTGCAGGTACATGGAGGTCTCCGTCCTTGTCCATCCAACCCCTACAAGCAATAACGTGTTGCTTGGGCAGATAGTGTTTTGTAACCAGATCGTATCACTGTTTGGGGCTCCGAACGGTTTTAGCGAATTTGAATTACGGAATTCTACACACTGACCCCTACAATTGTCCCTCTTTGTCCAGATTTGGCTTACAACGAACTCAGTTTTGTATTTCTCAATGTTCCAAGTATAAACAGACTGCAGTGGCATCCCTTCAGTGTCTCCTCCAGTCCTGAAGATAGTCCACATCACATGAGGTTGTTGATCAAGCCTTTGGGAACTTGGACTCGTAAGCTGGGAGAAGCAGTCAGCAAGGCTGCCATTAGCAGATGTCCTTTGAAGCTGAACGCGGGTGTTGAAGGACCTTACGGACATGAGAGCAGCTACTTTCTTGAGTAATAATCTTCGAAAAACTTGTCTCATGTTATAAGCCTGTGTATGTAACATTTCCATCTTCAGATAGATCAAACCTGATTTGCATTTTGTTTGGGATTTTTGTTCTGAGCAGATATGAAGCTCTCTTGCTGGTAGCTGGAGGAGTTGGTGTGTCTCCCTTTGTGGCTGTAATCAGAGACTTGCTTCACCGTTACAAGAGGAACGAGCCAGGATTACCTCATGATGTCACATTGGTGTGGGCTGTCAAAACTCATAAAGAGCTTCGGATTTTAGATTCCTTACAGCCGATTTTGACATATCCAGACTACGCCCTGCATCTGAAGCTTAACGTCAAAGCTTATGTGACAAAAGAATCGTTAGAGGACTTGGAAATTGGTGAAGACGAAGTTACTCTGACCCACCTAGAAACTATGTACGACTCTACAGCAGAACAGAGAACAATATCTCACTTGGTGGGATCAGGGAACATTTTATGGATATCTGCAGCTATTGCCGCATCGATTTTTGGCTACATTCTTTTTACGGGTTTGGTGGGGGTCTTCTACTTGTTTCCAAAGGACCACAATAGTCATAGTGTAGTCCCCTGGTGGATCAGAGGGTTGATTGTCTTGGCCGGAATGGTCGTCGGCGTATGTGTCTTTGGGGGAAGTGTGATCTGTATATGGTATCTGTTTGGATGTACTTCAAAGAAGAAGGCGCGTAGAGAACGAGATGAGAGCGGATCCAGTGAAGCTTTACTTAACGGGTCGCATGAAGAGTTTGAGAGTTGCAACAACTTCCGCGTTCAGAAACTGATTCAACGCTCCAATACAGTATATGGAGTGAGACCTGATCTACAAGGTAAGCTCCACTGTCGTTGCGCAAAATTTTGCTCATTTGCTGACAAAACCCCAGGGCATTTTGTGGTCGAGATTTCTCCTGTTGATACCAGAGCGGAGAGAATGTTTGTTATCATCAGCAACAGCGAACTGTTTCATTCAAACCAATGTGTAGTATGCAGATTTACAAGGTCGCTCTGTTGCACCCGTTAAAGATTTCCAGTAGCACCTTAAATAATTTATTGGTGGTTAATGCAGATATATTTGACTCTTGTGCTAAGCGGTTCAGTGGAAGCAATATTGGAGTATTAGTATGTGGACCGGAAGGCATGCAATCTAGTGTTGCCGAACAGTGTAGAGCATTCAACACCGTACTTCACCATCGTCACCAAACGGGTTTCAGTTATCATTCTGTTAGCTTTGACTTGTAAGAGTGGTAAAGATAGTGAGTTGTATCATAGCTTGTATCGTTTGTCCGCAGGGTATAAGACATGGAGTAGACCAAGTAAATTAGTTAGTTTAGTAAAACTGAAGTAATGGTATGTCCTGTGCCCGACATATTGAACTAAAGAACAGGGTCCTAGGATATTCATCGATATATAGAGTTCATGAGAAGAAACATGAAGTAAAGAATCGAAACATGATGAAGTGGGTGTACAGTGGACATGTGTTCCTTATGTTAATGCAGTAAATCTCCTGCTTTTATACTTTCCACCCTTCCTGCAAACGTTTTCATATTCTGCGCACAGTAAAGATTTTAACGTTGCCAGAAACAGTATTTTATTGCTTCTCATCATTCATACAAGACAAAGCATTATGCCATGAAAGTGAAGCCGCAATTCTGGTAACAACAAATTAGGGTTATGTGGAGTGATAGGGGGTAGCGGAGAGTTAGTGAGGAGTACACGAGTAGTTTTTCAGTCATTTTGAGATTATACTTCGCCGAAAGTTGAAATGGAATAGGCTTGAGATGGAATAGAGAACTTTATTTTTCATTTGAATTAGGTTCCACTTTCCAGAGGTTGAATCTTGCGAGTCATAAATCTATATCATTGGCGTCATACAGCCAGAAGTCCGAGAAATTTTCATTTTCCCAGTTTTCCTTGGATGTCCTTCATTTTCGTGACTTCGCCTTCTCATCTTCCCAATCAGCACCGTTCACTTGTGGCATTAGGTCCGCTCCTTCCTCGTCTTCATCTTCCAACGCCTTAAATCTAGCCATGATCAAGCTGTAATCAAAGATCAAGCTGAAACCTCTCACATTACTAAAACTAGTCACATCTTCCTCGAAAACATCTCTCTCCTTTTCAAACAAGCTTCTCCTCATGTAGTAATCAGCGAGCGATGTCCAGAGGTGCACGACCTCATCAGTGAAACGCCTGATTCCTCCTCCGATGGATTGCATAAATCTGCAGGCCAGAGACTTCGCGGGCATGCACGGTGAGCAGATTGCAAAGCTCAAGCCACAGCTGGTGTAGGGACTTCCCTTTGATGGAGTGGAAGCTCGCATCATTCAAAACCTGAGCTAACTTCACAGTTCCCTCCTGCCAGAACTTCGACTCCAATAGAAAGTCTATAAACTATTTCACGTGAGTCGGATCAAACTTGAAAGGCGACTCACGACGAGCTTGCAGGTAGCGCCACCATAGCTTTGAGCTGTAAGGTTTCTTCAAATCTCTTCCTCATAGAGCAAATCCTCCTCAGAAGGATAAAAATCCTGCGGTGTCGAAGGCATGTCTGATCAACCTTCCTGTACACTCCAAAAAGAGGGTGCATAATCAAAATACGCACGTCTCAAAAGTGCTGCGACTTGCAGATTCAACTCCGTCTGCTCTCCCTCCATTACTTCTCTCGGCGGCAAATCCAATCACCAGCTCCACAATGCCCTCGAAATCCCTGCACTAGATCCGACCTCGGTAGTGTAATCGCGATCTCCTCTTGATCTACAGCACAAACTCGTCCATCGATCCTCGCAGCTCGAACCGGCAAAACTACATTGTCATCGAGAAATTCGACCTTCGGACAGACATAAACCTTAACCCCTCATCTGCCTTCACAAGGACACCAGATTGCAGGGCTACGTGAGGCAAGGCCGACCAGTTGTCACAGGTGGTGCCTGCGGTACAGTCCCGTCCGAGATCTAGCGTCCAGTGTCCGGTACAGACGTTGCCGTCAGTGTCTTTGTACATAGTTTCCGTTCGGGTGTACTTCAAAGAAGAAGGCGCCTTGAGGGTACAAGCCATGGTACAACTCCCTATCTCACCCCTGTTACAAGTCACACCTGACGGCGGATGACGTGTTCTCACTGGCGGATGACGTGTTCTCCCGGTCATGCACTCAGGAGCTCAACTTCTTCGAGTCTGGGTTCAGGCTAGAAGAACATTACCTCATTCCTACCTTGGTCTGCAAAAGACGACATATATGACTGGCATTCTACACAAGATCTTGTACGTGCATGCACTCGAATTTGCAGTGACGCCGATCTGTCTGAGGTGCAGTTATTGATCTGATCTCGGTGGACATTTACAGTCAACCGAAAAGTCTGACAGAGAGGATGTTTGTAAAGCTTTTTTTTTATTGTGAAAGAATGGGAAAATTTGTATACATCAGGGACTGCAGAGTCCGACCTGCACCAGAAGTTTTTACTATTACTTCTCCCCAGAGTCTAACGCAGTGAAAGATAGTCTGTCATTTGGGAAATCTAAAATCAGATCTATTCGACCTCTCATCGTCCTCAACTATTGACCTTGCGGCAGTCACTCCGAATTTCGCCTTGTGTTTTGACTTCTACCGCTGCCAGAGCTCGCATTGCTTGTCCGAATTGTGAATCAAATCGGCGCTCGTTGATAAGAGACTTCACTATCCTTCTCGTGCGACGATCTTCGAAAAGGGATTGATCAGACGTGAATAAGCCCTTCTGCTGCGTGAGGCCCTTGTAGTAGTTGGAATCGAATTCTCCAGGTGTAATTGTGTCCATAAATATCTCGATTGTCGTGTTGAATGTGTTCTGGGGGCATTCTTGCTTCAATTGTTCGGCGTAGGTCGCATTCAGCGATGGATCCGTTGAGTTCGTTGCACTGAAGTTGTAGAGCCGTTCTATAAATTTGTCACAGTGCCCCACTCCAACTGTGTGCGATCCTGACACCAAGGAAAAGCAATCCAGTCCAAATTAGCTTCTTACATCAGTTATCTCCAGTAGACGACTCAGCTCTGCATCTTTCTCAATGACCTCCTCATGCTGATCACTACAAATGACGCTAGCAGAATATTGCAATGCTGCAGATGGTAAGAATTGCTGTTTCAACTAACAACTCACCTGAAAGAATGACCATCTGTCTCTTTGACAAGCCTTTCTTAGAGAATGAGTCGATAAGTTGAGTGACAGCAAATGTTGGGGGAGGTAGCTCTGCCTCTGCAGTATCAGCACAAGACACAGTGCCATCTTTTCTTCCTCCTTGTACCACCCAGCCTGTACCATTCAGCTGCACTTTCAACGAAGTTTATCAGAAACCGCTAATTTCCAGCTCATGATGCCAGTTTGGCAGTAATGGTTCGAAGACTGTCTGTAAGCTGGCGGCTCTAAAAGTCCACATCTGCTCAAAAAATTTGAGCAGATGTGGACTTTTAGAGCGATGCCCTCTGTCAGACTCTGATGACTAACTTATATGTTGACTGTCTCCTCTACGTCTCTGTATCAGAAATGAGATTTATAGAAATGAAAAGCGATCTGTAAATGGATTTCCATTCTGTTCTGCTGTCCGGAAGGAGAAAACTTTAAGCAGTGATGGACAGCAACAAGTTCCATCGCAGAAACGTTCTGACAGTTTCATCCGGCCAAGCAGAATTCAGATACATTTACCGAGAAGGTTTGTCCCTGTAGAACTTGGGATTGAGAATGAGATACTTCTGAATGTACCTTCAAAGTGCTGTCACGAGCTGCATACGCTATTATGTCTGCGCAAGAAACCACGCCAGGACATACTGCCTCCACAGCAGCTTTGGCAGCATCAATCACTTCGTAACCTGTGAGATGCTCGTTGACGGGAGCATGCTTTTCGGTGTTATTGCCATCGAGCAGCACCGACGCATCACAACCCTGTGGTGACCGAGCCAGCTGATGTCAGGCATCCTGAGGTCTTGAAAGACAATACACATAAAACTGAATATGATCAACAGACCCAGCAGATTACATGCAATGTAGAAGCTTGGCATGATATATCCAGAAGATATGTACGCCAACCACTTCATCATCATTACCTCTACAAAGCAGTCGTGAAACTGCATGCGAATGATGCCTGCAGCAAGCTTCAAGTTCTTGTCGAGCTCAGTGTTCACTGCTTCCTGGATCTTTGATTCTGCGGTTGGACACGACTCGCTGTAATAGTTGTCCTGCAGACCATTCACATCGATATTTTTCTGCAGGAGGAAACTGACGGTTAGAAGTAGAAGAACACAGCTGGTATGAGCCATCTTTCAGTATGTTCGCCGAGTTGAAGAAGAATTTTTGGAATCCGAGACGTGGCTCGTCCTGGATTTATCCCCTTTCAGACACTCACTCACTGATGTCAATCAGATCGAGATGTGCAGAGAAGGGGCCAGCACTGATGAGATGTGTTTGGATGAAGAAAGGGAACTGAAACGAGGAATTTATACGCAGAGAACTCCAGATGATAGAATAATAAATTGTGTCTATCTCGATCGGGGATCCAAAACGTGAAAGCACTTGTTGACACGATGTGAAGGCTGGCTCTCATACTCGGACATAAGTAGAAGGTAATCACCAAGACACGTTCAGACGTTCAGCACCGTAAGTACAGTCTCCAGCAGCTTCATGCAGGATATATGTTATCATACGTTCTAATCGAGAACGTCATCCAAAGGATCCGAGCGCCGCTACAAAGCTGCTTAGCAATTTACTGTTTTGAGCAGTCAAACTGTTTTCTCTTGATCTACAGAATTTCGGTTCCAGATTTTCTTACGAATTCTGGACGTGAAGAGCTGCATGCGCAGACACACTCAAGAAAGTGCGATTTGAGTTCCTGAACATCCAGTGAAATTCGACCAGTTACTGTAAGATAGCATAAGATCGTGTTTAGTAAGAGAGCTATTGCATATTAGGTCCTGTGATACAAAACATAATCCCCTACATTGCTTAACAATATGTTTTGTCTTATATACTGAAGGACAGCGTTTAATAATCGTATTCTGCATTCCGCACTCGCTCCCATGATGCAATTGAAGCATGTGGAACTCTATGAGCTCTAGTACGTATGTCTGCCTCTCTCTTACGTTTCCACAAAAAGAGGTGCATTTAATCAACGTAATCGGTTGTATAGCCTTGTGTTTGTGCCACACTCTTCCGATAGAAACAGAGGAAGAGATTCTGAAGCCGCGGGTCATAATTATCCCTTGCAGTTGCTCAAGTTCAGGACCAGGAGAACCACTGTGGCACATTCCTGTAAAGATTGCGCACTTGTATATCAAATGAATGCAACACTCTTTTGTCCGCTATCCATGATCAGCAGCAACACTTAGTTGCGTAGCTGAGTGAGGTGAGGACCTCGAACACAGGAATGGAGGATATAAAAATCGCACAACTCGCGAGTTTATCGGCTCGGATAAAACAAACCGCTCAGATGTTCCGACATGGCTGGCAGTGATGGTCCAGATTCAGATCTAGTGAGCTGCAGCACTGTTTGTGTCTCTGAAAAGTCGTGTCCTGCAAAAGAACGAGACATCCCAGGAATCAAAGGAATGGCCAATAATTGCAAAACGTGTACGAAAGACTCTGAACTTTTATTTTGTGGATCCCGGCGAGCTCTTCTTCTTTCATGAAGACATGCATGAGCTTCCAGGCCCTGGATCAAAATCCTTCCGGGGTCGAATTTCAAGCTATACTGCGCACACCCTGGACCTGTGATCACGACCTAAGCCCATGTATACAGGATCATGGGGAGAGGCCTAACAGATGCCCGGTTACTTCGGAAAGTCCTCCATCATCTATTTGAAAAACATATGTTGCGTTTCACGAGCATTGATTTTCATCGTGCAAAATCTACGTGAATCTCTTGACGACGACGATCTCGCCTGTCTCGTTATTTCCAATTGCGGTGATAGTAAACACCTTTCAGGACGGAGGGCCGCCCAGCTTCTTCTGTATCTTGTCTACAATATCTGCTCGTGCACCATAGTCGCGATTCGGATTCCTTTCTCACGACGTGTACATAGGATAGATGCTCGAATTGAGTATGAGACTTGGTCGTCAAAGGGTCAGTCTCAAGCTCATGTTTGGATACATATATGGCATATATCCATATATGTAGCGTTCATATGTATTGTTCATCCGGACACAGCTTAGAACACTGCTCAGAGTACAATAATTGTTGGCTGGACATTGGGGAATTTCTCCACAAGTCACCTCATGCATTTTTCTCGATAACTCCTCAGTCATTTACACTCTGTAGGTAATCGACACGAAGTATTGAGGAGCTGCTGTTCGCTCGTGAGCCCCCATCCCATCCCATCCCACCCACCTGATGGAAATGATTGAGACTCTTCGTTTCTCTCAATCACACGTTTCAATCGATATAATGTTTAATGAGATAAAGTTCTAAAACCTGCGGTAATTACTCAAGTCAGGACTAAAGATAATTTTTCTTTCTCTGTCCTTCCATTTTGATTACGCTTGTGGTGTCCTTTCATGGACAAAAACCGGTTTGCAGAACTCAAGGCCATTTCAATTTCTTAAGCGTATTCCAGACAAAATATTCTTCGTCCGTATTTAGCGAGGTGGTAGTTCTTCAACATGGGGAACCGTCCCTTGGTACTTCAGCAGCTCAGAGACACAAGCTTTTATGAGTATCAGGTAGACGCACGTACACTCTGTAGAGTCTCATCAGGCCCCTGTCTGAAACGTCTGCCTCTCTTGGATGACTTAGACTTAGTTATAGACTCGATGCCAATCTTCAATGTGTCAACACTCCCGTCATCTATTTGGGTTTCAAGTAGCAGTGTCAAATGATAGCCACTGCAAGGGGCAGAAAAAAGACTCATGTGGAAAATGAAGCGTGTTTCTCATCCTCAATTCCTCGCACGAACTCGCTGCAACTTCGGTTGCAGTACCCAATAGCAATTTCCTGATGAATGGCCCAAAGGAGTAAGAAGATTTATTCTTCTTTTGGTTCCAAGAAGAAAATCAACTCCTAGTTGTGGCCTCACAAAGCTCATGGCATTTTCAGAAATTTAAAGTTGATTTTAGTAGTAGAACAAGTTCTCCGATGATAGAGAATTATGAAGTAGGACTTAGTAAGTTATGATATCGCGTAACTTATTGCAATTGATATGTAAGTTACTGGGATCCATACGAAAACAATTATTGTATGTGATGGATGATTTATGGGAATCACAAGTGTGCACTCAACACTAGAATGCACGCTCTTGATGTAGATAGTCACTGTGCACTCTCAAATATTTCCCATTGTGATGCTATTGGGTCTTGGCCCATGGTATCCAGTTTGGTTTCTTCATGTGCCACTTGATCGGTCTTCACAGAAATTTTGCCATTCTCGCTCTCGCCTTTCTGGGGACTTCCGAGGCTGCATAGGCCTAGTAGAGGACTTGATTTGAACGCAATCATTGGTTGTATGAGGCACACTGATTCAAACTGCACGGTCAATGGTTCAGTGGAAAATTGACCTCGATAGTTCTTAAAGGAGGACGGAATCTCATACAAGTTGCAGAAGTAGCAGCGTTGTCGTTATAGGTAAGTGTGCTATAGACATCAAATTGTTCTGCAATATCAAAAGATTCTGTTGATTCGAGGTGAAGGGTAAATTGTGTAAGGGAAATGTTAGTACTAAAAAAATTTCAAGATTCTAGATGATCGATGAAAACAGAAATTGCTGTGCAGTACTTACTTGCTCAGATCTGTTTTATTCAGTACCTTTGCTCAGATCGAGAAGGCGAGAGTGCAGGTGAATCGCTGATATGGCTGAATGATAATCAAGGAAGATGTCTTGTCCGGATGGATGCATCCAGAAATTAATGATCGTGATCGTCGTGATAAGGAACTTAATCTTCAAAGGGATTAGAGACAACCATTTTGTAGTTAGAGAGTTTCAACCGCAGTTACAGAAGTCTAAGAAACAGAGAGATTTTGATAAGATAATCGTCTTTCAAGAACAATTACCATTCAAGGTCTTCTTATCATTCACTGGACCTGAGGAGCCTAATCACTCTAATGAAATCACACGCTGACCAGTTCATCGAGCGGCTAGAGTAGGCCAGCGACATCTACTGCGCAGGCCTTCAAGTTCAATGTTTGTGAGATAGACAGCTGAACAAGGCTTGAACACAAAGCCCTCACCCATACTATAATCCCGAGGAACAGATCCACATAGTGCGATTCGGAATACTATGCTGCACTGACGAAATAAGAACGCACATCCTTTCCGAAGACTGCTTGCGTGACAATCTCAGAGCCTTCCGTCCACGAAGGCAATTTCAAATCTACATTCGTCACTGAAGGGGTCAAACATTGCTGGCATCAAATTGAACCCCGCACAAATTGCCCTAAACTGCTGCAAAGCTAGGTTTAGGTAGGGAATCTACTTTCTGCTGTGTATAATATGCATTCTCTTCCGAGCAAATCGGGAATTTGACGAGTTCAGATATCTTTCTTAGTAATTATCATGCATCCATGACGGGATTGCCAACCACTCTTAGGGATAAACATGAACTACAGTGAACTAAGAGTCAATCGAAGACTGTAGAAACGATCTGAGCTGGAAAATACTCCAAGGTGAGCAGCAAGGTCGTGGAAATTCCAGAGTTCAACTTTTAGCCCATCAGAACGTAGACAAGTAGAAGGACAATGAAATTCAACGAGACTGAAAACTAAGTGAGCAAAAGTAACTGACATAAACCGAATACTAGAATACATTAGGCCGAGCATTGAAGGACGCTTCAAAAAAAGAGTATCTTCTGTCAGTTGAAGCCTGCATCGTGGATACTATGTTAAGTCTGGGCGCTTTTATCTGTGTCGCAACAGATTGACAAAATTTGCGTCAGATGAATTGAGAATTATTTCATTGCGTTCTATCGCCTCCTCATGCACAAAGAAAAAGCCACGGTCCAGGATAGAGAGTCGAGATGAGTGATAGCAAAACACATGCTATAATTTTCAGATCGTACACATTGCAATCTGTTTGCATTGAAAAGCTCTCGCCAAATTCCTCAGACTGAACCTCGACTATGTAACTCTCTACGGTTACGAAGCTTCCCACTAGTATAGCATACAGGTGCTAGAAGGAACTCATCGACTTCACTTACTCCTGTTTAAGCCTTCCTCTAGGACCGATCACACGTACGTAAATCTTGGGTCAAGAAAATCTTCAACTAATTTCCAGGTCGGTAGCCTGCAACCGGCTCTTCCTTCACATGAGGGCACAGCACCGCACGGCCTGGCTTCTCTTCTCTGCGAGCAAAGACTTTATCGATGCTTGTCTAAAGTAAATTCATGCTGCGATTGATCCCTATTCTGAAGCACTCTCGAGGGCAGACTGCGAAACTCAGTCTCAGAACTTCTGCTCAGTGTTGTCGTGAAATTCTGGAGGCACGCGATTGATTGATCACCTGACGCAGTTTCAAGTCTGTAAATTGGGCTAGATCAGCAGCTCGAACGACTGAGTAGCGCATCACACTGAACACTCTGACCGGACACGAGTTGGCTAGAATGGCAGTCGAGCAGAGTTGGCACAGTCAGCTTCACGATGGCCTCTCAAGGTGATTTTATGAGGGCTCCTGCTTTCCTGTTAGAGGGGATGAAAGTGAGCCCGAGCTCCACGGTACCTCTGGGCTTATCCTTGTGCATGACTTGGAACATTTGTATCGGTACGTCGTTCTGGTTTGCCTGCAGCAAATCTGCTACTTCTATTTTGACGGTTCCTCGAAGTTTATCTTTTCTGAGGTCATGATCGTACAAATGTAGGTACATCACACTGTACAGCGAGAATTGGACGTGCTCGGCTATCTTGAAGCTCAGCTGCTCCTCGAACACCGGATTCGTTCCCCCGTTAGTGATGACCTTGCTCTTACGCTTCTCACCACCGATTGTTAAGAGAGCAAAAACATTAGCCTTCCCAAAGCACATGAATTCATGGCCCTTGATATGCCTCGCTCGTTTCAGTCGAATGATCAGCTCTCCGGCCCTCATCTTCGGCTTCATTTCCCGAAGATGATCAAACGTCTCAGCCACCATCTTCGGAACTGGCTACCTGCAGCTACCCGCGGCCTTTGCCAGGCAAATCTGAGCTCTAGCAATTCCAAGCCGATCAAATGATCCCCAGAGGTTTAAAACTCCGAGCGGGGTTCTGAAGCAGATGCAGTCAAACGAGGAACCGGACTTCACGTACACGACAGTCGGACGAACTGATCAACGAGGCCAAGATGAGGCGAGTCGAAAGAGCAAACTCGGACGAGCGTTTCAAGCCACCGACCGCTCGCTCTCGCGTTCACCAGAGCCAAATGTGAATCTGTCGAGCTTATGACGATGCTCGGTCGTACTCCCGGAAAGAAGTGGCCAATCTCGTCACCTGGTTCCAAGTGATTCGCCCAGACTTCCACCAAGCCAAGGACAAGTTATAAGTACACATGCAGTTCGAGTGAGCCTGCGTCCCTGACAGAAAGACTGCAAACAAACTGATACTGATATTGTGAAGCCTTGGGATTATTCTGAGTTCTGTACGGACCATAATCAGGTCGCTTCAACATCAGGAGACACAAGAGAGTCCGATACCCTCTTCTCAGGTCTTCCGTCTGAGACCTCAATTTCTGAGGAGATACGTTAGTAGTACCTTACCTGGGCACACAGTGGATGAGAGATTTCGAAGCTCGAACCGTCAAAAGGCATCTCAGGTCTAAAATTGCAGTGGGTAAGCCGGTGCCAGACTAACTGGACTAGGTACTGGGCCTAGGCCTTGCCACAGGACTTTCTCATTGTTTGTCAGAAGACCTCGAGCTGTCGTTTATCGTGACCAGAATAAAAACGTGCAAATTCATCCGGCTCGATGGTCCGCTGCCAAGCCGATGAAACGTCGGAGACTGGAGAGAACAAGTCTATAATAGCACAATCAGCTCTGTTTGGCTGTTTTCCGAATCGGCCTGCTCCCTGAGATGACTGGTCCATGCGTGTATATCGTTTTGAGATAGCTCTGAACTTGGGTTCATGCACCAGAAACACTACAATGCATGCCCTTCGGATTGCCCGGGGCACTCGGGTCCCTATGTACTGGTAACATTCTCTTCCTTGACAAACAGGGCCTCAGACCTCTCGGGCTGATGTAAACTGAGAAGGACCTGCTCAATGCTGACTCTGCTGACGGACTCAAGGACTGGCTGGTGGCTGAAGACTAGCTTCAGATGTGTTTAGGCATGATCCATTTGTTTGACCTTGATTTGTTCCATCCGAGGTTTTTAGGACTTTGGCTCTGCCTCGAGTCCTAATCGCTCTTACTTTACGGTTTCGTTTCTCTGAGTCTCCATGTTCTATTAATGTCCTTCATTATTTATCATCCTACTAGTGCATAATTACAAACTTACATTCAAAGGTCTCCATTAGTATGTTCGATATTTCTAGCTACTGTGATTTTGGTATTGCGGAGCTAAGAGTCCAGGCTAATACGACACTTGCAAACGTTCTGTGATAGGTCGGTCAGCTCAGAAGTTCATTCCCTCCTTAGGTGCTTTTGTGTCAAATGGCCTCTGGGCTTTGTAATGAACTTGAAATTTCTGTGCTCATAGATAACTGCAAATAATGTAGGAAATAATAGGAACCAACATTCTGTGCAGTGACTTGTATACTGGCGCACCCCTGAGAATTTACGGCCCTTCGCTAACTAAAGCCAAAGTGAAACTTAGAGCCCAAATGATCACTTTGGCTCTTGTTTCACTTCAACTCTGCTGGGATCCTCGAGCGTTTTATATCTTCTGCACTTCTCTACCTCGCATCCTACCTTTACATATGGCATTTCTGTATGTGCATTGTACTGCGGGTGTGTTAGAATAACAGAGCGTTTCAGAATGGTAATATTGAACATCTATTGCTTTTACTCAATAGCGATTATATCAGAGGAGTTGACTACAACCCATAACTCTAGATGAAATAGACCCATGATATCAAAAAAATTTGAAACTTCATTATACTACACCTAAATTATCCTAAAACTTCGCATCAGAAACTACTGAATTGCACAATAAAGTGCAGCCATGCACATCCTACTGTGTATGGAAGCCAAAATAATAGATTCATAAAAAATTTAAGTATTTTGTTATAGCGCCTCATGGAGAGTGACCATGAGTGAATATAGTAATAATACTGAATTAACAAAAGACCCACGTATGGACTTCATTACACTTATGTTGACGCTAACGTTGTACACTGGTGAGATAATCAAATGATTAAGGCTAATTCTTAAAACTTATAAATTTTCAGCTAGAAATATATATCACAATATAACATAACAAGGGTGGATATTTTCGTTCACTCGTTTCATTTGGCTGGTCGCTAGGTATGGAATCTTTGAGGATACAGTTTGAAATATTTTATGTCATGTAAGATCTTCTAGAGTCGACCACCCAAAATTATTCTGTGTTCCAATGCTGGCCTTTCTCGGGCACAGTGGTTGTGGTTCCATGCAGAGATCTGGGTTCAGCTACGTCTCGTGAAGAGTGAACGTAGTCCATGCTTTTGTCAGTTAGATGACATGCTTCCAAAAGTTATCCACGAGCTCGCTATTGGCCGGCTAGCTGGAAAGTCGAGTCAGATCTCCACATACTGCGTAAAAAACACTTACAGTCATCAGGGGATCAAGGTCCACTTGTATTTTACTTGCTTTCTCGAGATGGTGGTGTACAACACAGCCGTCGTCTTTCTCACGACAACTTTTCTCGTGGGGAACGGTGAGATAGGATAGAATGATACCAAAGTGTAACCATGCCCCCACCAGCTACTGTCAGGCTCAACATCCAAAACCGTTCGAAGAGAATCAAATCAGCAACAATGCGCATTCTGTCAAAGCATCGACAGCTTCCTTTTCCATCCAATTATGTTAGGTGCTGACACCCATCTCTCGCATGCGGCCTCAGGTTCAGATGTACCGTAAGCACACAAATCTGTACCTCATGCGCAAGATTCTTTTAGTTTCAGTTTCAGAGGGTATCAACTCCCTCAGCTCCGAGTATTGTTTAGTAGACAGCTCAGGAAGGGTGATCTTCGTTTCAGTACGAGGACTACGTTGCTTCGAACCTTTCTCTACACTCATCGAATTATTGTTCTTCCAATTTCCATCTTTAAGCGAGCAGCCTTGTGATCTTGGATTGTTCCGGTGGAGTCTCGTCAAGTACCAAGCATGGACTGAATGACAGGTCCCGATCTAGCCAAATAAACACGCTATTATGGGAGTTATGATGACTTGGCAAGCTTTCCGTTGGATGTATCTGATATGTATTTGTCTTTCATATTCTACATGTGCGAATGTGTTTTTTCCTATGATCTTTCACTACTTGATGCAGGCGGCACCTCCAGTTAGGAAGTTGTGCGTATGCAGATACATACATTAGAATTGATTGCGTAGGTAAAGATCCTTCGGAATGAAAATGATGTTAGGAGCTAAATTGTCTTTACTAAACCTATCATACAAGGCCTAGAGTTTGACTTATGTCTATTAAATTACCAATCATTAAACGTGAGCTTTTAGGATGAGTTCCAACTTCAGTTGTATATTAAAGACGTTTTAAAAGCTCACAAAACGATTTCCAAAAACTTCCATTAGATTATGTGGTGAAAGTTATGAATGCTTGGAAAAATGATATTTAACTAATAGTTTATATTTTGAAATGAAGAAGTTCTTTCTACATCCAGTTCTAGTTTGATAAATGATACGGAAATTCAACCAAATACATTTTGAGTAGAAATGTTGAAATAAATTTTTTATCTTCCAAAGCTCTTGGATCAAGATTAGTACATGATGATTACGATATCATTTCAATGTATATTTTATCAAAAATATGATGAAGTAATAAAATTTGTGATATTCTTTCAATTAACATAGATATATCAAAGTTATGAATATAAAATTAGAGTTGATTTTGTTTTTGAAATATTCAAAAAGTTTAAACAATGTACTTTTGTCAAAAAGCAACCGTTAGATTAGATAGAAAAATAATAATTTAATATATATATATATGAAATTTTAGTCATAAAAAAATTTTACAATAAGACTTACCATCAGACTATCAATTGAATGAGTCCAAAAAAATTATAGCTTAAAATTCAACAACAAAAACAATTGAGTTGAGATTGACCTAATATTTTTTAAAATTATTTAGATGAATTAAAAAATCTATTAGGCTTGATTCAGGTTTTTGTTGATTTTTTTTTGTAAAAATTTGCCCTCTGGGCCCCTCCCTCTGGTCTTCGTGCCCTTTGGGCCAGCACACAATTTCCTCATATGAAGTAAGATATGTAGAAAAATCACATTTTCCATGAATCATTTCTATGATATAAGATAAATAGAACATAAAATATTTTTTGCAACTATAAAATTTAATTTTTGCATGTGTATCACCTTTTGATCACTTGGATATTTTTTTGCAATTTCAAACTTAACTAGTGATAATATAACATTAAAATTAAAACTAAAACTAAAATAATGAGACCAAAAATTTTTATGAAAATTTTAATTTTTACATGGATGAAATAACAATAATATTGTAAAGAAAAAAATTTAATAATATAACACATGTAATAGATTGAAATTTTTTTTGAGAAATTTGTGTAGTTTCTTGCTACGGAGTGTTATTCGGCACAAAAACAGAACACAATCAAATTACTTTTGTTGACAAGACTTTTTTTTAACTCTACATAAGGTTTTTTTGAATTGTTCAAGCATTTTTTGCATTTGACGAAGCACTGTACTAGATTATATGTGTGTGTTCTTTTTTATTGGTATTGATTATTTCAGATTATTTGATCTTTGACACACAAAGTTTTTTACGCCTACTAGTAAGCTATATGGGATTTATAATAATTTGAAGATATTTGTTGTGGAATTCAAACTAAAAGAATACAACTTCTTCAATTGTCATTGAGTTTAAATAATCACTACCAAGTTTAGCTACAAATCTATACTTGGTATAATAACAATTTTTTTTAAATGTTTTTAAATAAGCATCATTAATTTTTTTAATGAAGATTAAATTTGAAATCAAGAATAATTTTGACTACATATCATTTTATATTTGTTTGATCAAATAAATTATTTTGATTGGTTGGATTGAATATAAGTTTGTTCAAATAGCAAGATGAGGTTCTAAAAATTTCAAACTATCCAAAAGCATGTTGTGACCTCGACGAAAAGACAAAAATGCTTCTAAATAGTTTAAATATACAAATAACTTTTTACATAATCTTCTTTCATGATAATTTACTCATGGGTACATATCAACATTGTTCAAGCAATTTATATGATAATTATAATTAGTTGTCATGATAAATTATAAAATAATTCACATAGAAAATTTCAAAAAATACTCTAAAGCAAATTTGAAAAAACTGATGTGTCAACTATTTTTTTTCTTAATTATAAATAATTATTTTTATTTACGAAAATATTTTTAATTTTTAATTTTTTGTTTTAAAATTTAAAAAAATATTTGAAATTTTGATTTTGATTTGTATGAAATTTAAATTAGATCTAAAACATCTACAAATAACTTAAAATATTCATAATTTGAAACCAAATTTTTTTTACACAAATGTAAACATATTGTTAACATAGAATCAAGAATCTATCACAAGACACTCATATAACGTGGTTCACCCTCGAGGGCTACGTCCACGGCTGGAACACTGAGCAAGTTTACTGACAAGTGAATACACAATATTTCAGCTCCTCCAAGAAGCTTTGGCTTTGGGGGTATATTTATACCCAAAGCCAGCGACACACATAACTATAAATAGCTAGAGCCTGAGTTTACTCCTTAACCGGAGTTAACCTCAACAATCTTCCACTTAACTCGTGTTAAGGAAACAATAAACTCTGAAACCTATATTATTACTTAGCGGGAAGTTCTAGACAGATGTCACTCTTTATACGAGAGTTAACTAGAATTAGACCGTAGCCATAACATGATAGAGTAATAACATAAAGAGGTAAATAGAGTTACTATGCTAGCAAAGTTTACATGTGCTCCCCATGCACAACTTGCATGGTAGA